AAAAAACAGACTCTGCTGCTAATTTCTCAGATGATAGCCCATTCCAGCAGCTGGTATGACTGAGCCGCCTTCAGGAGCGAGGGACCAACTGATAGTACTCAGGCCAATGCAATAAATATTCTGCTAAGAGCAAAATAGACGAAGAAATTAGTCCCAAGACAAAATTACAATGTCAAGTCATGAAGACTTAGGATACACCAGTAAGCAAAAGAATGGAAGCGACATGTCAACCACTAACGGCGACGTTCACACGCCGGGACTTACTGATATCCTGCCGCAGATGAGGGGGCGTGTACGGGGTGAGCACGGCGTTGTTGCGCACTGCAGAGCCTAGGCAAAGCGCCATGCTCGGACTCTGCATCGCACACCCACGACGCGGGGCCATTTCCCAAGTGCCTGCTGAAGGGGATCCTGTAGGTACACTCACTATTGCCATGCCCTAGCTCAGGCAGACACAGCCTCACCTCCGCCTTCCCTTCCCCTCTGCAAACTCAAGTCTGTTTCCTGACGTTTCTCTCCTAAGGGGCCTGGGTCCATCCTTGATTTCCCATCTCCTTCCCTGTGGCCTCTTCCTCCTTACTGCACCCCTCCTGTCCAATCTTCACAAGCTCAAGTTTCTACCATTCTAGGCCTTAGAAGGATGAGCCCTATACAGACCCCTCAGCGTGATACGAATATTACAGATAAAGAATGTGGACGGGAAATAGTGATTCTTACACAGCCTACTGCTAAAGTACCAGTCTCACTTGACTTCAGGCAAGGTCTGTAGGCTGAATCATCTGCAAAGAAAGGAATATTTGTGGTACATATCTTCTAGGGTAGTTGCAAGGGCTAAGACAGGAAATATTTTTAAAAGAACTTATAACAGCGTTTGGTATATGAAAAGCATTATATAAGCATTTTCTACCAGAATATAATAAAATAAGATACCAAAGGTGCAGAGAGCAAACTTCCTACCTTCCTCAGCTCTTCCTTGTGGAATGAGGAAATCAGACTTCCAGCCAGATAATTGCTTATGTGAAACAAGGTGGCAGACCCATTTTTTTTTTTTTTTTTTTTTTTAGCCAAATAAATATCTTTCCTAGAAAGTAGTTATATGAAGGTTGTGTTGGCCTTAAGCAAACAGTCTGTAATTTTCAGTAATCACTAGGCTCTGTGGGTGACTATGCTACCCAAGCAGCTAAGGAAGTAAACTGGAGTGATGAGGTATAGGGTCAGCATATGCTAGCCAGATGCTCTTAGCACACGCCTATGTCCTTCCCGGTGTTTACAGGAAGGAGGGCCCACAACATGATCAGAGGCCCAATCTCCGGGGCCACCTTCAGGCAGATTCAATAGTTGTTTAAAAATTAAAACCCCATGCAGGAGGGATGGCTCAGAGGATAAGAGCACTGGCTACTCTTCCAGAGGTCCTGAGTTCAATTCCCAGCAACCACAACATGGCGGCTCACAACCATCTATTATGAGACCTGGTGTCCTCTTCTGGCATGCAGGTGTACAAGCAGTATTGTGTATACATTGTATACACAATAAATAAATCTTTAAAAAAATTAAAACCCCAGTTTTGCAAATAAAGCCTCAATCAAATGATGACTTAGGGAGACCTACGCACATCTGCCTCTGCTGGTGCTCAGGAGATACTACCCACTTCACAACTTTGCTAAATGAACCAGGAAGGGGACACCATGCGCTGGCTCCCTTTGTACTTGATACCTGCGAGGACAGAAGCTAAGTTTTCGCCTCTGGCAGAGATCACTTTCCTTCAGGTCCTCTGGGAGGGGCTGGTGACATTGGTAAGAGCACTTGCTGCACAAACCTGGTGACATGAGTGTGACTCCTGGATGGCACATAGAGGGCTTACATGTGTGTGTCATGTATCATGTAGAAACACACACAATAATGTCAAACTCTTTGGGGTGGCAGAGGGCTCAGCTGCTGAGCGCCAAATCCTGAGCCTCTTCCAGGGACCCACATGGTGCAAGCAGAGAGTGGTCAGAGACCATCAACTCAACCAGCTGTTTCCTAGCCTCCACATGCGCCATGGCAGGCCCTGTGAGCAAACACATGGAAAAATGGTTTTTAAAAATCATCTGCAAGGATCCAATTTCAGAACCTGACTTCTGGAGAATAGATACTTCTGGGCCTCACCCTAGTGTCAGTGCTAGAGTTATCACTGACGATATTAAAATGCCTGTGAAAAGAAACTCATTGTGCTGACTGTTTTTGTCAGGAGTCAGCCACGGAGAGGAACACTCAATTAGGAATTTGTCTCCATCACACTGGCCAGAGGGTACCTTGTAACTGGTGATGGATGCAGGAGGACCCAGCCTGGCATGAATGGTGCTAGCCCTAAGCAGGGATCTTTCAAAAAGTAGCAGAAAGAGTCCCAGGAAAGCAAGCCAGGAAGCAGCTGCTCTCCACTTTGGTTCCTGCTGCTGGGTTCCTGCTCCAGCCCCTGCTTTGGCTTCCTTTGGGATGGACTATAACGTGTAAATAAGCCAAATAAGCCTTTCCAGCTCAGGCTGCTTTGAGTCATGCTGTTTATCCCAGCAACAGAAACACCAGGGTTCCCACAACACCCTAAAAGTGTGGTTTTCATCTGCAGTTTTTCTTCTGATACAGTGCAGCAATGGAGTGGAAGACACAAGAACTGTGCGCTCTAAGGTCAAGGAGCTACAACAAGGCACCAGGTTGCAGTTGCTGAGTCACCATTAAGGCCCCTACTGATGTCTGCATCTCCTACCTCTTCAGGTCAGGACTATGGCTCTGCATTACTGGCAGTTTGAACACTATGCTGTCTGGGTATGCCTTGGGAATGTAAACAAGCTAAACCCAACTCTGTTCAAATACCTAGCATTTGAGAGTTTGGGAGATGCGAGACACATGAGGTCAGGATGCAGAGTGGGGACGCATTCACGCTTGATTCTTCCTTGGCTCGCCACAGCATATGTGGGGCTGAGGAGCGGGGCTGGAAGGGCACGGCAAATCCAGGAGCCCAGCTCCAGTACAGAAGGAAGACATCTTCTGGCCTAAACTGGGAACCCCAGAGTCCCCATTTTAGGGAGCCTAAGCACAGGTCATTTTGCTACTTTCCTAAGCAAATAGGAATTAAACAGGAAAATGCTGGATATGGACACTTAAATGGAATGCTTTAGAAAATGTGAAAATGTTTATAGCAAGACAAATTCACATAGAAGCTAATATGAAATCAGTGTTATTTCAATGATATTAATATTATAAAGTAGTAAGTACATTATATAATGATAAATATGATAAAATAATGTTGTTGTATTAATTATGTTGTTGATTATATTGATAATTTCACAATGGTTAACATTCTATTAATCCTAATATAAAAATTAGAGAAATGTTTGTAAACTCCAGTGCCGCATTTGTGAAGGAAAAAAAAAAATAGGAATTTATTTTTCAGGACTTCAGCTTAATAGAACCAAGCAGAAAAGTTCTCCTTTCACCTTCTGTACTGATTATTAAAACCATAAATGAGAGTATATTTATTATACATCCAATGTTTTCAGGATTTTGTAAAACTATTGGTAAAGCAGACATTTCCATAAAAAGGCAGGGGCTGAGCCAGCTGTGGTGGCCCCGGCCTTTAGTCACAGCACCTAGGAGGCTGAAGCCAGCAGAGCTCTTGTGACTTCAACGGCAACCTACGCTACATAGTAAGTTCTAGGACAGCAGAGGCTACAGACAGAGACCTTTCCTCTAAAAGATAAAAAGAAAAAAAAAAAAAAAAAAGCAGGTGTCATCTCTACTTTCTTAAGCTCGGAGCTGTAACAGGTCAGTGTTTTAAGCCTTTTTCTTCTCTTTGAGAACTGATTTGCGATGGGAAAATTCCTCAAGGGCACTGATTCATTCATTCCAACTGTGTTCCAGGTTGATACAGGAAGCATATTATTATTGTTAATTCCACACTTGATAAATTCTAGCTTTACTGCATGAAAACACCACTTCCCACGTCTTACAGGAACAGTCCACTAACAAGAGATAAAAGTCACACTTACCAGTTCATAAAAACCAATCCATAAGTCACCCATCATGTATTATTGTTACAAGTGCATTAAAATAACCCACACATCCCTCCTCGAAAGGAAGGGAAATACTCCTACATTACTTTGCGTGGCTTAGAGCTGCTAAGGATTCTTGGTATTCATTTTAACAAGTACTTTAAAAGCACTGTACAAATGGATTGTTACATGTGACTCGGGTAAATCCATCCTAATTCATAAGTTAGATGTGAATTTTCAATTTAAAACACAAAGTGCTTTGTGTTTCCATTCGAAATAAATATAGTTTTCTTAAAGTCTCAGTCTGATTTCAAACTTTGGCTGGGTGTACAGGGCATCTACTCCACGTCTCTTCCTAAACATTAGAAATCTGGGCTCAGGATATCCTCAGCGCTAGGGACTCACTTAGCATGCGTGAGGCCTGGGACATGATTCCTAACCCCACAGAAGAACTGAACTCATACTGAGGAGCTTGCCATGTAGAGCCATGACGGCTAAGAGTCAGAGCACTGAGAATGTAGAACAGGCCAGGTTTGTGCTGTTTCACAGCTCTGGCTTCAATCCAGTGTCTGCAACGTTCTTCCTTGCTTATCCAGATAGGAAGATCGGTGTTACTATGTACTGAAAAACTGACAAATAAAATGTGCTGATTTTGATAAGTAAACATTATACTGCAGAGAAATTTTATTTTCTTGGCATAGTCAACACACAGTAACTAAAACGAGAACAAGCTTATACTGAGGCCGTCTTCCCTTTAAGCTCACTTAGGATTCTACGGGTCTTCTGATGTCCCAGGAATTCTCAGATCTAGCCATACCTAGTGGAAATATCTAGAGGGTAGGTAGACCAGAAACTCAGAGTTCTATAAGTGAACTGAGACTGGTAGAGACAAATATGTCTGAAAGCATCCAACGTGCAAATATCCACCATGATTCCAAAAAGGAACTCCTGTCCTCATCCGCACGCCGTTACCTGATTGGACGGTTCTCCTTGCTGTCGAAGAGAGAGAAGATGACCTCCAACTCCTCCCCCAGGTTGGAGCACATGAGACTCTTCATCTGGACGAACAGGTGGTGGCTGCTGGCCTGCACTGGGGTGTCTTTCTTCCGGTGTCGATGCTCCATCTGAAGGGTACCCACCCCACCAGGAAAAACAGGGTCAGCACGGACTGAAGAAAGGAATGGCACAAAGCTGTAGAGGGATGGGGACTGCCTATAGTAAAATTTCCTTTCATGCTAAATTCAGCATCTAATCTAAATTTCAAATATTCTTCCAGCTTCTTCAATAAGATGATCAAGGGCTCTTGCTTTAAGATTTGCTTTAAATTTTTAATATTAAGATGATATTAGCTCATGGCATAGATTCAGGAAGGAAGAAGTTCAAAGTATTTCTGCTCACTCTAGTCAACTTGCAGGGTGAGAACAAACCATTCATCTTGGAGAACAGACAAGAGAGATGGCCTGGTGCTGCTGCTTGTAATCCCAGCAGCTTGGGAGGTGGAGGCAGAAGGATTCCAAGTTTAAGACCAACCTGCCTACAAACTGAGTTCAAGACTAGCCTGGGCAACTTGGTGGGACTCCCACCCTCCCTCGAATCCCCTTTCTCTTTTCATATATGTATGTGTGTATGTACATATGCATGTGTGTGTGTATGTATGTATGCTGGGATGTTGCCCAGTGGCAGAGCACTGGCTTAGCTCAGCATATAAGACTTTAGGCTTAATACCCAGAACAAGGAATCAACAAAGCTATCGACTCAAACAAACAAACAAACAAACAAACAAACAAACTGTTCAGATTTAGTTACAGATCATTTGATAAATGAAAGCTGAAGAATATTTCTGTAACTCATTTATTAAACTTTGAAAATACTTTGAAAGTTATACTAAAATGGAAGGCTCTGGGAGTTTCTGAATGAGGCTGTGGCGAGTCTTATTGTAACAGCACAGCAGGTAAATGTTTCCAATGTGCTGTGAGCAATGGCAAGGGGGTCAAGGAGCCTGTGAGGAAGCTAAAGTTAGGAAGAAACAGCCACACATCCCCTTCTCATGGTGTCCTCAGTTTGGTCAGCTGCTCTCAGGCTTGTGATGTAGGACCAGAACTGAAAGTGCACACAGTCTGAGGAAAAAAATCATGCGTGAGGCTACGGATGGGAGACTATGAGGCCAGGCTCTCAGGCAATAATACCTGTTAGGTCAATACTACATCCAAACACTGGGACCACAACAGCGAATAAACATAGAAACATTCCATGCTTCACGGAGATGGTACCCACGAGGGGGATCAAATAACAGCAACACTGGTGTTTGCACACACACAGACACACCTACCCACTCATACACAGACACACAGACAGACAGACACACACACACATAGAGACAGACAGACAGACACACACACACTCCCTATAAGAGTGATGAATGGAGAAAATCTATATTGTCAGTAGAACCCAAAAAGGGTGCTTGGGTTTGAGCCTGGGAAGTGAGAAGACGCCTTAGAAAACTGTTTATGTAGCAAGCACTACAAAAGAAATTAGAATTGTGGCCTGTCTAGGGCAGGATTCCCCAACTTGATTATGGTGAAGGTGGAGGCTGAGAGGTAAATACTTCCAGAAAAACCAACAAACAAAAGGCCATCGAGAAAGCACGGCAGTGTGACCTATGTACTAGCTTCTGATTTTCCATTTCCCGTGCACATGCTGGCCCAGCTGCCAACTGCTGCCAGTCCACTCAGCTCTTGCATCTCTACTTTGGGTAGCACCGATGCAGGATGAAAGGCAGGAAAGGACCTGGAAAGTCTGGTAGAGTGAGGGGTGGCATAGTCACTTTCATATCCCAGGCTGCCAACTGTTACTGCATCGGATCCTCCTAAGAAAGGAGTAATTTCAGCATCAGGCACTTGAACTCCAGGGTTTGGAACTCTATGGCCATGGTGGTTATTGAAGGTAAAGGCCCATCGCCCACATTTCTACACCGGCTAACTTTGAAGGCTTGTAAGTAGAGTTCAATAATTAAGAAATGGTTGGCCAACTTTCGGGGCAAATGCCGTTTTTCACAATGTACAGTTGTAAATGCAATTGCATAACATCATCAGAAAGTTCCCACGCTTCTAACTTTTATTCTGAATGATCTAAAAGCAAAAGAACACGAACAAGAAACCCAGTAAACAGAGCTTCAGTCACCTCATGGGATATCTCTCTGTGGAAGTGAGGAGATACACACACACACACACACACACATACACGAAAGTGCATCTCATCAGCCATAACTATTAAGGGAAAAATATTGAAGAAAAATTAACACAAAGGGTGGGGAAGCAAAATATTTCCCTGTTCTCTTTGATGCTTGCTCTATTTTGTGCTTTCAAAATTCCTTTCATGGGGGCAAAGGATACACCACATGCTCACCAAACCAACCTCTTTAATTCAAGGAAGTCGTTCCCCCTTGGAATTGGTCACTCACTTGCTGGGCTACTTAAAACTCCCCACATAGGTGCAGTCAAAAGGGTAGCACAGCACAGCTACTCCAAAGAAATGAATGGCTACCAAAGGCAGAGCAGGGGCCTTAGACAGATGCCTGCTGTAAAGAACTGACCTCAAGGTGGTCCCACTTTTGACCTCACAGAGTACCAAGTTTCCAGCACTAATCTTGGCACTCAATATGAATCAACGGGGGAAAAAAATCAGCTTCCTTATTCAGGCAAATAATGCAATGTATCGTGAGTAGTGGTTCTCAACCTTGACTGCTCTTTAGAGTCACCAAGAGAGCTTTTAAAATATACTTATGCCCAGGTCCTGTCCCAGAACAATTACATGGGAATTTCTAGGGGGTGGAGAGGGGGTTCTCAAAAGCTGTAGTTTTAGAGGCTCCCAGGTGGCTCTAATGGGCAACGAGGGTCGAGAGTCATCGATGGAGATCACATGCAGAGAAACGCTAATCACAGCACACTGAAAATGCATCATTGCATCTGACAGGCAATTAACCACTGGCCTGGCATGCTACGAATAGGCCTGCCTGGCTCTGTGCTCTGTGCCTGTGACACAGACCCTTGTGTCCAGCCCTCCCCAGCTAACACCTAGTCTCCCTCGCCCAGCATTCTTCCAGATCTGGGGTGGGTTTGGACTTAAATAGGTTATGATTACTTGCTTCTCTCTCGGTAGCTCGCTGCTTTTGAGGACTGCTAAAAATATCTCCACGAAAAGAGCGTCTCAGCTATAACTTTAGTAAGGCACGCTAATACTTGAAGAGCTGTATCGTGATAGTCGCAACATGGAAATAACCCTTTTGACGTAACATGTGGCTCTAGACATACCCGGCAGCTGTGCATGTGCTTACAGCTAACCTTTTAACTTTGCCTTTTATTAGGAGAAGAAGAAGATTCACTCCAAAGACTTTCTCTAACTCCCACAGGCACTCCTCATGTGCCGCCTTAATTCCTGGAGGGCTTTGGGGGTGTACAGCACCTCCTAAGTGGACTCTCCCCATTGCCACCTTTGTTGTGGCAACCAAATTCTGCCTTCAGCCAATGTCAAATGCACGCCTGGGGTGAGGCAGTAAAACTTCTTTAAGTGGTTGCTATTTGGCAAGCCCTGCTCTAGGCCATTAAGAATGACAAACAAGAAAATAGAACCCTACAAACATAAAGTGTCCCTAAAAAGATACCGTGCCAGCCCAAATAAGCCGAGATTCTGGCCAATTAGCTTTTCTTTATAACAGGGCTGAGATGTGGCCTTTGGCAATCCAAGCTTTGAGTTAGCACGGTAAGGTTTAGCACTTTCCCAGCTCAGAGGGGCATAATTGGGTGAGAATGAGCTGTGAACAGGCCTGGCAGAAACCAAACCAGGACCTTCTTCCCCAGGGGACAGCATCCATTTGGGAACTTGTGTTTCCAATGTGATACTGAAGGAAAAAGAAAGGAAGAAATCATTCTTTCTGGAAACATTTACCTTCACCCCACAGCCCTTCATCCAAAATGACAACACACTGTCAACCCCCACGGTCCTTGATCTAAAATGATAACACACTGCCAAACAAAAGCCTGGCACTGGTGCTGGAGCCTCCCACGTTTGCTCCCTGGTGAAATCAAGGCAGGCAGATGCTGACAGACTGCACAAAGGGAAAAGAGCAGAGTGGCAGAAGTGCCTGATGGAGACAGGACACAATCAGAAATTTAAGAAGAAGAAAAATAGCCAACTTCCAAAAAGAACGAGTCCTTCTGTCATTAATGCTGCTTCATTTTCTGGGGCTATTTAGTGTCTTTGCATAAAAAGAGGAATATACAATTGTTACTGAGGAGGCATCACATTTTTGTATATAAAACTTACAATGTTTTATATTCCTCATCTATTAAAAAATGACTTTGGACCAGAATCTGAACTATAGGCTACCAAAACACTGCCTTACTGGCTTTCCCAGAAATGCCAGACATTGCTAATCAATCAGGGCCAACATGAGATCTAGGCCTACCAACACCATTGAGGTCAGACCACTACCACCAATAAAGTATAATATTGAGAGAGGCAAATTTGTATATCAATTTGATACCCTATATACAAAGCTAGAAGGGAAACACAGAAGCAGAGTTATATAAGGGAAACCAAAGTAGGGACAAGAAAATGTATTTATTGATGGTCGACATTATTAGTTGGTCATCAAATATTTCCCATCTGTACCTAACTCTGCAGGTGCAAGTGTTTTCTGGCAAATAAAGGCCAGTGTTGTGTGGGACTTCCAGGGCAGCTTGTTAAAGAAGTTCAATCAACTGCAGTGAACCTTTGTCCTTGCAACTCCATGGAGGACAGGCATAAGGGCTACAACTTCTGCAGCTGTCCTGTACTGCGAGGTGCCCTTGCATTCAATGTCAAGTACTGCAGAGCAAAAATACAAGCGGCTGTATCTCGTGCATGTAATTTAGCCACAAACCAATTTTGAACTTCCTGTTCCTAGCTCGTCAGAAAATAAATTTCTATCATGTCTAGGCTGCTATTAGTTCATTTCATTAAAAGCAGCAAAACCTAGTGCCCAGATTTAGCACATACGATCTCAATTATTTTTGCCATGCTGCCTCTCTAATGAAGATGAACTAAAGATGAAAAGGAACGACGCCTGACCACATGGTTAGGTGTTTTTCAAATATAGTTCAAAGAAAGGCAGTCATCACCAACATGAAAAGGAGAACTTTGTCACTTAGTACATGAAGAAACTGGACCTCAAGAAGAGTCCCGAGTGGACAGAGGCTGGACATGCAGTTTGCAGTGATAATCCAGGGTGTATTCACGATATAAAGGGACTCAAAATCACTGCCTTGGGGCTTACTAAGGACAGCGCTGCACTGGGCTATGATGAGCATCACCAAAGGAAGGGAGGACAATGCAGCCTCAGGCTATAACATGGACAGGTTGCTAAATGAGATTAACAGTAAAGACGTGGCGTTAGGAAATTTGACCTGGGGCTGGAGAGATGGCTCAGCGGTTAAGAGTACCATCTGCTCTTCCAGAGGTCCCAAGTTCAATTCCCAGCACCCACATGGTGGCTCCCAGCCATCTAGAATGTGATCTGATGCCCTCTTCTGGCATGCAGACATACATGCAGATAGAGCATCTGTACACATACTTAAACAAATTTAAGAAACGAGAGAGAGAGAGACTTGACTGATTCAAAAGGTAAGAGGACATGGTCAACAAATAAAGTACACAGAACGAATTTGTTTCATGAGCTAAAAAGCAGTGAGTTAACCTGGGGCATTCTTGGTTTGTTCTTTCTGCCTTTTCTTCCTCCCTCCAACCATCTTCACAAACTTTTTTGAGACAAGGTCTCATGTAGCCTAGGCTGGCCTCTAATTCCCTGTGTAGCCAAAGAGAATCTTGACCTTTGATGCTGCGGCCTCCAGCTTCCCAGTGCTAGGTCTGCAGAGCATGCACCACCTCACCCTACTCATGAAGTGCCAGGGATAGAGCCCAGAGTCTTTGCACATGGTGGGGAAGCACTCTGACAACCCAGTTACCTCCCTCCAACCACCATTATCTGTTTCCTTATGACACACCAGATGCTCTGGTCAAGTGCAGACGTGAGAAAGAGCCACAGCATGCAATACTGCATGCCAAAAGCCCTGTGTACGGGCAAGGAACCCTCTCAGAAATCTCACAGCACGTAACACACACACATCCTGAATCTGCAGAATATGAGGAAGAAAGTGAAGGTACCGTGATTACCTAAGAGTGACTTCTCATGGGTCACATTTTACTGAGGTAACTGACAGCTTTCCCCACAGTTCTTCGGCTCTGTGTGTGTAACCATCTATTAAGAATGCCACATTCCTCTCATAAAAGTACCTTAATGGAAAAAAAAAACTGCAAAAGCAGCAAGACCTTCCAAATCAAGTCTCCTGTTTCTAGACGGTCTTCCTTTTAGGGCATGAAATCGTCATCCTTGCGACCACAGTAAGCCATGCCTAAGGCAACAGCCTTTGAAAGCCCCTTCCAGCCTAGACCTCCTCCTCTAATTTGTGGTTGGGAAAGCTTACTCACTGTGGGGGTGAGGATGAAAATGGCCCCATGCAGTCACAGGGAGAGGCACTATTAGGAGATGTGGCCTTGTCAGGGTACGAGTGGCGTTGTTAGAGGAAGTGTGTCATTGGAGTTGGCCTTAAGGGTTCCAGAAGCTCAAGTCAGACCTAGTAACTCACTGTCTCTTCCTGATGCCTTTGGGTCCAGATGTAGAACTCTCAGCTACCTCTCCAGCACCATGTCTGCCTGCATCCACCATGCTTCACTCCATGAAGAAAATAGACTAAACCTCTGACTATAACCCAGCCCCAATTAACCGTTTTCCTTTATAAGAGTTGCCGTGGTCATGGTGTCTCTTCACACTTACTAGCATGGAATTCCACACAGGCATTTAGAGGCACAAGCTAAATTCAATGGCAGACTGGACTATGTTGAAGGAACTAAGCCAAAAGGTAGATGGCCAGGAAACTAGGAAAGGAAATGGTGTGACAGGTGACCTTGGCATGGTAATGTGTTAAAAAATTTTAGGGTTATCAATGCTTAGAGAAGGGTGGGGATCCAAGGACAGATGTAGAAGCAGCAGTTGAAAGCTACATTTACAGATCCTTTTTGAGATCCATCTACATGATGCTTATGTGGGCAGAAGGGGAACAGCACCTTGGTTAATATTCTATTATTCAGAAACACACAGGTGAGGAAGGGTGGCTTACAAGCCTTTCAGAAACACACAGGTGAGGAAGCGTGGCTTACAAGCCTTTCACTGGACAAAGCCAAAAGAGCAAGATCTTGGGAAGGAACTGAAAAGTCTGAACTTACTTCCAGGGCCTGTTAAATTGGGGGCTGTGTGGAGAACTTCAGTGTACTAAGACGCAGAAAGAACATCGGTGCTGTTGTTGGGGCATGGTCACCTCAGCTTGCAAGTCTCTCTACTCTCTTCAAATTAAACCAGGGAACATCCAGTTATTAAAACATCTAGTCTGCAGGGTGCCATGGAAACCACAGACCTAGCAGCGTGGCACCGAGCAAGCGCTCTGTGCACCTACCAGTCGGTACAGCTCCGTGATGCTGATGTCCTCCGGGTCTACCATCGCATACTCCTTCCGAGGTACCAGATCCAGGCCCAGCTGTCTAGAAGAGCAAGGTCAGACATTTGGGAGAAAAGTCACATGTGTGGAGTGCACTCGGAATGCTCTCACTTCACCGTGTAGTGCTGGGATTGAGCCTGATGCTTGTTTCCCCACTGTGTCAGGCATGGCTGGTTTCTGTACTTGGGGCAGACACAGACCGAGGTTGGGCAAAACAGACGGTTGCAAAGGCAAGTCATGGCAGGGTGCACAAGCACTCTCATTAGTGGCTGCCTCGCAGTGAACAGTGGGATGTGAGTGCAGCCCTTTCCCTCCATTGATACTTTTAGCATACTCCTCTCTGGGGCAACCACTGGGCAACACTGATACCAATGCCACCTTAAGCATTCACACACCCAACAAAAAGCTCTCTACTGCCCTGGTGACATTCGTGTGTACCAGCCTACCTTCTTTTCCACACTCCAGTTCTCTTCCGCAGTTCAGGTTCACTAAGGTTAAGTTACTCTGTGGTTCTCTCATAGCATCACTCTCCAGAAAGCCTTCTGGCATCGTACTTCCAATTAGAGAACCACAGCTTTCTTAACTTTTGTATTAAAAATAATGGAGAATCCTGAAATTCTACGGCTGCTTCAAAACCTCATAAATGCTGCATCACTAAAATTTCTAATTCAGCACCTACATCAGACCAAGCACTGCCCAGCCACCCTGAAAACTACTAGCTCTTAAAAATGAGAAGACTGCCATTCAACATCAAATTCCTTCACTATTATCTTAAATAATGTTCAGATACTGGAGGAAACCATACATCTACACTTTTGGTTGAATTTTCGTATCACAGTAAGTTCAGCTCTTTAGCCTCAAAGTCCTCATGTCCTCCTTGCTATATCACTCCAGGGACTATGACAGGGTCAGCTCCTGTTCTCTGCCTTCTCTCAGGAGTCACTGACCTGGAAGTGAGATATCATTTGACACCAGGTTTACCTTCCTGATGAAATAGTATAGCAAAGGATATACTCATGTAAGAATTTCAGCACCCACCCTAGTCGAAGTTTCTTCTAAAAGAAGGTGCCATTCTCTCCTGGGTGAAGTAAGGGTGCAGGCTAATCATGAGACCATCTCCTCTTGAGGATGGCTATCTGGCTAGCCCTCATGTGCACACCTGACATCGGTGGAAACAAGCCACAGCCTGCTAGCAGTTGGAGAGGCTGGTATAAAATGCTCAGCCCAAACGGGACTAATAGCTTCCCTACTGGTCGTCAAGGGTGTCCCTTCTTTGTGAGTCTGAACCTGAGAATTTAGATCCACCCTTATAACATTAGAAAGAAAGGATCTGTGAAGGGCCACACAGCTCCAGTACTACAAACATGAGTTAAGGTCAACTCCAGCTGTGAGCTTCAGGCCCTTCTTGAACTTCTACTGAAAGAAACAGTATTTAAAGTTTCTACTCTCTGAACGGCCTGAGCTATCAGCTGCTGCTAGCTTCTTTAAGTCATAATTGTTGCTGTTCATTGTTGTCATTTAAGAGGTACTGTCTAAGGGTGAACAGGCCACTGAAGTTTCTTAGCTCACAGAATGAAATTGGAGCAGTGCTTTAAGAAGAATGTGAAAAAATTAGGCAAGGCTTAGAGAAAACAGAGGGAGCAAGATCACACAGGATATCAAGAAGCCAGGAAGGAAAAAATTTTCTATCAGCCCAGCCACTAAAACACTCTGTGACACCTGGAGGAAGGATGAAGCTCTTTGCCCTTCCGTGTACCGTCAACAGGAATTCAAAGACCATCATGAACTCTATGTGTTGGGAACCTGTCCCGTCACTGTAATTCAGCCTGGGGATTTCAGGAGAAAGCTCTCCTTTACGGATCATTTGCTACTTCATCTATGATCCCCACGTCCAGGACACCCCTCTCCACCGATCAACAGAGTGACATGCAACTTGACGTGGCACATGTGCTTAATTTATGCTTGGTGAGAGGTTCATAAGCTGGCAGACCATGTTCCAGGACAACACGGCCTTGTTTAACAGGCAAAGAAACTGTCTTAATTTGCTTTCCACTTAGCACTCTTTAATAAGTGAATGAATTTATCCTTATAGTAATATGGCAAATGTATAATCTCTATGCTGTAAATTATTCTTAAATAAGTTGTCAATGAAATTTAAAGAAATATAATAAGAGCTTTGGGGAAATTCATGGGCTTAAGGATGTTTTAAATTATACTGCTCATCTCATATCTCATTTTTATTTTATGAATTTACCATAAATTAGCCACGGAACTGTCCAAGACACAAGTTGGAACTTGTGTTATGTCAAAACCTTAACCTCATACAGCTCCAATTCACAATTTTGCTCCACTCCCTCATTTTTCTGTTTCCCTTCACCAAACTGAAAATGGATTGTTTTGTTGTTTGTTTTTTAGCCTGTTCCATATCTTCTTGTGATTTTTTATAATCTCACTTGATCCAACATTCTTATTAACAAGTTGTCCTCATTTGAATGAGGACTGGCATATAACCTATTATATTATAACTGAGTAAAGAGTATATATATATATATATATATATATATATATATATATATATATATAT